CATTTCATCGGATTCTAGAGGTCGTCGGCACCAATTGGCCGAACCACTGACCGCTGCGACAAAGTGGAAAGAAGTGATGCGCAAGCTCTGACTCAACAATAGGGAACGCCGACTTTCCTCTGCCGGCAACTTCCTTTGCATACTAAAAGAAAAGAATATGTTCCACTGTTGGCAGGGATGGGACCAAAGGGTTCTCCCCGAAGACCATGGCCATCAGACCTACTTCACAAGGTTGCTTATTTCCTGTTGTGGCTTAACATCACGGAAAGCCGCATCTACACAGAAGAATCGCTCGGCATTGGCTCCGAAAAGGATTCATTGGGCTTGGAATGTTCTGCATCTGCATCTCCAGAGGGGGCTTCAAAAGGATCAGGTCTTTTCATCTCGATTCTCTATGGGATCTGGTTGATCAAATGCATCATCGGACATGTTGCCCCAAACATGGCGTACAGAGCCCTGAACGTTCACCCCTCTAGAGCAAGGCACCTCAATTAAGAAGGCGCCCCCCCCCCCCACCCGGAGCCAACTCTGCGGACAGAAAGCGCTCTCTTCCTTGAAAATCGCTAATGTATAGAGAGAGAGAGAGTTGTGGCTACAAGTATCACAAAAGAACAAGCATTTTTAGAGCACTTGTGTTGGAGTCCAGGCACAAGTGGAGATTACCGGACACCCTGTGAAGCAAGCCGCCTGATTTCTTGCCGAGTTTCTCTTGAAGAATTTGCTCGATCTGTCTGAGCTGCCACAAATACCTTTGCCGTACACATCGTACCTGGGCTTGAGAACACCAGCTTGCGGGCCAGATCATGAAAAAGTCTCTGCGCTGGGGTCAAGACATTATGTCATGACGTCTGAAGTTGTACACTCACTGGCTCATCAAACATGAAGAATACCTATTTGCAAAAGAGCTTGGAAAACTTGGTGCTTCAAGTGGTCGAAATTTGCCAGGCACAGCCAAAGCAGCGAAAGGCTCAAAGCAGCGTGGATTGAGTTGTGACCAAGGCAATTCAATTGAGAATCCAAAAAGTTCAAACAATGGCGCTCGGCCCCAAGATCCATCTAGAGGAAAGTCTTCTTGGAATTTTGGGGGGCTTCCGTGGACTTGCTACAAAACAACCAAGAAATCGTATGGTTCCTCAAACAAAATGTCTCAAACGTCCAGTGATGTCTGTAGGTGCCCTCCGTCTCCCTTCATCTCCCGTTCATATTTTTTTTGCACGGAAAAGGCACAGATCACCCCCGTCTCCCTCGGGGGTTCTGACCTTCCGCCAACCCAAGGGCCCAAGGGGAGTGGTTTCAAAGCCCTAAAACTTCTTCGATTCCAAAAAGACACTCTTGTTGTGTCGCTTCCAAAAGAAAACCAACATGAAACAACTGTGCAACGCCCGAACCACATCTATAACCACCACCTCCCCCTACTTCCAAATGCCTCCATCAATGCCACCCTCCCCTACTTCCCTCAGCTCCCCTTGTCCTTCCCAGCGTCGACTGTGCTCGGATAAAGTCCGCTCCCAGCCGGCGCCGGCCACGGAGATGTCCACGCTCTTCACGCTTTGTGACTGGTCGCCTCAGGTCGCAACTGGTCGTCCCATGGTGGCCAAAGGGCGTTCCCAAAGGGCGTTGCGTTCCCAACGGGCCTGGATTTAGTTGGGGTCCCCCGTTGGACGAAACGCCTGCGGCGATCCAAGCGGAAAGTAGGTGAGGTGTGCGGTTGATCCCAAATCCAGGGGTTGATCAAAGCACTATAATTATGTAGGCCTCTCCGATTCATCTTAGATCCTCATATACATGTGGCTCGTGTGCGAAAACCCAGTGACATCAACATCAGCGTCTCATGTGACCACTTGGACCCATCTGTCCGTTCACATTCACAGGGCCCTTTCTGCACCCAAGTGGCCAGCCCGACTGGATGGCGTGGTATGTAGACTGTGGAGACTGGGACTCTCATGCGAGAGCTCCGAGATCATGGCGCGCGAGGACGCGAGAAGCGTCCAGCGCAGCGACCGTTTGGGTGCTTCGGGAATTCCACAGGGACCGGCCGGGCAGTAAAGTTACACAAAGCTCTTTCAGTCGCAAACTGATGTGAAGTTGAGATTCTGGCAACTCCATCAATATAATCAGTGGCGCACAACTGGCACCCCTGGCACCTTGCTGTCGCATCATTGACAGATCATTCAGGCTTTGATCCCAAATCTCCGGTATGTTCTGCGATGTGCGTCTCAAGTCGAGATGAAATCCAACACAAACACGATGCACCAATGAGACTGACCGACCTTCCCTGAAATCAAGGGTTTTTTGAACCTCGGAGCCCATTTCTTCGTTTCACCCGGTGATCAGTCTTGCGGGCAAAGAAGATTTTCCTGGAAATACTGGCTTGTGGATTAGGGTTTAATGTGTGTGGATTAGGGTTCTAATGTTGTGGCTGTCATGTTTGTGGATTAGGGTTTACCCAACTTTAAAGCTGTTGGGTCTGGGTGGGGAGGGCACCCCCCTTTTCCCCCAACAAGCTTCTGCAGATGATCGACTTCCAGGTTTCTTTCAAAGCCAACTGAACGTCTTTTTCTCGAGAGCGGATCTCCCAATTCATCGCGGTGCGCGCTCGACGGTGTCGCGATAAGGGTTCCACGGAGCGGCTCAAATGGAGCAATCCGGGCGGGGTGATCGATGCCAGGTGCCATAGGGGTGTGTACTTCAATTGGGGGGGACCCCCTGGCGTAGACTGGTCTATTTCCCTTCTTCCAGGGGGTCGTTGTCTCTAAGGTCTCCCTATTTAATACACACCCGTATAAAGTACCTATTGGTTGTTCACCACCGGGGTATATCCCTCAATTTATCAACCAACCAAGGGCGTAGGTCAGGCCATCTATGGCCGCTCCGGGCAGTCAAGCGGATGGCAGCGGATGGCACCACCGAGATCAGCGCGTTGCGGACCGACCCACGTTGATCTTCATAGATCGACCCACGTTGCAGAAGACTGGGCAGGACAGAAGAGCGGAGGCTTGAAGGATGTGGAGGCGTTCTCGGAGGTGCACCCCTCCCCCAATGGAATTGGAAGGAGGACCCCCAATCCAGGACTTCACAGGCTGTCTTTACTTAAGCAGCATGGGTTTGGAAAAAGAGATGAGTCCTTTGGCTTTGACCATGTTTCATCCACCACAACTGGACAAGAAACATGCCCAACATCAAAAGCACCATGAGAAGCGATATCTCTGCGGATGTAGGGTTGAAAATCACCTAATCAACGAGCTGTTGCCTCACTTAAAAGAATCAGAATGCCCAAATCATTCATTTTGCCGCACCTGCGGAGCAGACTCTCCACCACCATCGGGGTCAAATAAGGCAGATCGGACTGTAGAACTGTAGCCAGTACTGTCCACGTTTATTACTGTATTACTCATGCAACTGTCACAGGAGCAGGATGGCATAGTGGCATAGTGACTCTTTGAAGATTAGTTGACTTTACTATCAAAGGGCATGAGCTCCAATGAGGAAGTTAAATGGAGGGTAGTTTCTCCACTGATAGAAGGTGAGATTGCTCCCTGCCACTGTCATACTGTCATACCTTCAAAACACATTTCGAACAAATTCAGGGCCGATCCGCAACGCACCAAAATCTCATTAGCCAAGGCTTTTTCCAGCGAGGGAAAAAATGCCAGCGGGCACACCTCTGCTCGACTACTCACCAAATGGCAAGAGGGGCAAGGTGCCATTCACTCGGCTGGTGCCCCAAAAACGATGGTCGATCAGTAGCAGATGTGCTGCCACAGAATCAGGTCGTAGCTCTCACCGTAGCTCCGTAGCTTCCCGGGGCCGTAGCTCCGGAGCTCTGAGCTCGGAGCTCTGTCAGATGTGGCTGTGGGGAGACCGACCTACAGTACAGACCGGGCACGACCTACAGTGGTGTCGGTCCTTCGCGGCCAATGGTGGACTGGTCGGGCTTCAGGTTGAAGGACCCAGGGCTTCAGGTTGGTCTGAATTTGGGTGCTTTCGGTTGGTGACACCCTTCTATCATGCGAGATGCCCATGTAGTCTCTGCAACAGTGGTCTGTCTGCAACAGTGTCTAAGCAGCAGTGCAAAACGTGCCTGCCCGACCTCTCAAGACCAGGTTTGGTTGTCTAACTTCCCCCGCGGAGATGTTGGATGTCTAACCTCCGCCCCCCCATGTCATTGCATGGCGGCTGTTAACACCATGACTATCTTTCGATCCCATGGAGTACCCCACGGAACGGGTGAGTGGACGCCCTGTTCTGAATGACAGCCAAAGACAAGCTGCTAGCGACTCCGACCGAGAAAGCACCCTTCATGGGATGCTCAGAGAGTACCAGTGCTCTTGCTAGAATGTTCCCTTCTTCATGAGCGCTACTCTGCTTGTCTTGCTGGAGTTGAAAGAAATGAAGAAAGCGCAGCTAAAGTGAACAGGTCAGGTGAGTGAGAAAGGGTGCCATCTAAGCCTGGTCCATCTTATGAATGGAAGGCATGGCACTCTGGAAGTGGTACTGATTGAAATCATCATGGCTATGTGGATGGCCTGGCCCCGAGTTTGCATAACCACCAAACAGGTGGATGTTCACATCACTCCACTAACCCATGTTGGGTGGCACAGTTTTTTTTATCGGAGACTCTCTGGTTTGCGAATTCACCACCAGACTTGGGTTTTCAAGATGGTGAAAAAGCACTTAAAACTTAAATTGTCCAAGATTTTTAAAAAGTAAAAGCCTCTTAAAAGGGCTTAGGCTCTCCGACCGGTTCAAGGCTCTCCGAGCACCTGGACCAGTTTCTCCGGATCTGAAGAGCGAGCAGATCCGTTTGGATCCGATTGGAGCCCCCCATTTTTTGGGGGGGGAGACGGAGGGCCTGAGACCGGTGGGGGGGCGCTTTTGACGGCATCGGGGTCGCTGGGGCGTGGCAAGTGAGGCATTTGGGGCGGGAGTTCGAGGTAAGCCGCTCAGCCTAGGCATAAGGGGTTTTTGTCATGGACTTCCCAACGTGAGACATCTGTATTGTGGGGAGCTTTGGAACCCTGCCAGAAACTGGAGGAGTCTTCCATTCTCCACTCTTCACGCTGCGCTTGACCCAAACCTGTCACGTGTTTCTGTCACACTGCGCGAGAGTCGCTATGTGCTCGATCTCCTCAGTCGGCAAATGAAATCCCACCACTCAGAAAAGGTATCCACAAACATTTCCGCAGGAAAAACGTCCTAAAGTGGATGTTTCACCTGGCTTCGAGGATGAGGTTTCACCAGCGTCCAAAACAAGCATTTCAACCAAAGGGCCTAAAGGGTGAAATCCGAACAGACCAAAAAAGATCCAAAAAATACACCTCAAAACGAACGAATGGACGGCGAGCGGTGTCCAAAGGTGCTTGGGTGCACAGGCACCGTGGGGATGGGTCGTCGCCCGACCAGTCCATAGGTCCACCATGGAGCGCAAACCCGGCCGGGCCACCGTGGTGTCGGTCAACGAGTCGGTCTTGGTCTTGGTACAACACCCTTGACCTCTTGGTCTTGGTTGGACTTCTGGCACGACGCATGCCAAATGGCTTTGGGATGCGGGTAGCATTCATGCTATGAAACGTAGTCAGCAATGAATTATGACATTGAATGCTTGCTGAAAGGTGGGGGGCAGGCACTGAAAACCCTAGACCCTGCGATGTAGACTGTTGATGAATGAAAATGACGAGGTAAAACCATTCTGGGGAAGGGGTGGTTATTTGCTTTTAATCAACAGTCTCCACAAGTTGACAATCGATTTGTTGAGCACTGGCCATGTAGAAAGAACCCAGTCCCGCACGCGCGAGAGAGAGAGAGAGAGCCTCCGTCTTGTGACCGATGGCAGGAGTTGAAACCCAAAAATGGATCACATCGTGTATGAATGCCTCTTGAACACATGCAGATCATCTCTATCTATATATGTTGCAGTTGCAGAAAATAGAACGTGTTTATTTCACGGACCTGTGCGTACCCACGGAAGAGCAGGCCATCTAGGTCCTGATTGGGCCCCGTTAATCTCCCGAAGAGAAGGCTTTCTGGCCTGAGGCCTCTTTCTGGACCATGTTGAAGTCCTACAATACATCATGTCATCTTGTCATGTCGCAGAAAGAGCCCTCAGGCTCTCTATACTGATGTATTGTAGGACCTCAACACCTGCCTTTCAAGGTGTCCTATACGGAGAAGCCCTCTTTTTTTTCAGCGAGATTTGCCAGATATCCGATGGACCAGTCAGGGAACCCTGCGCCCCCCCGTCCCAAACAATATTGACAAAAAAAAGCGGTGCCCAGATCATCACGGTGTTCACGCATTGTCCCGCTCTGCCTCGTCCGCCTTCGGCCGAAGGCTCTGCATCGTGCGGACCCGGTGCCCTCTGGAGCTCGTTCCTGCGCTGGACCACGGTAGAAATGGATGGTGCGGTGCGGGCAAGCCGATCTTATGTGCGCCCCCGGCCGTGTCTACGGCAAGAAACATCAGAAAACGGTGCAAAGCCCAAAAACTCTGGGCAAACTCCCGATGCCACTGCTTTCGCTGGAAAAGAAAGGTTCACCGGGTTAACTGAACTGTCCACCTGTAAAGCTTTACCCCGACCCTTCATACACCGTGACGCACAGCGCGGCCCCTCCATTTTTTCCACCTGGAGGACCCTAGCCTTCCAAGCAAGACTGCGGAATAAATTGAAAAAAGAAAAGACTTTCCTTTTCCGTGTAATCTTTTTAGCACCTTGAGCAAAACAATCGTTGCTGGATGTTGTTGAATCGAACCCATGAAATCCATTGTGGGCATTCGAATCCATTGAAAAAACACCGACACGTGCAAAAGGCAGTGATATATATCATGAGAATATCCGAGGATGGTATCAAATTTGAAACGCTGCACCACTGTTGCATTCATAGTCACACACAAACATACCCGGACAAGGTGGAGAAAGGAAAAGCGGCGGGGCGGCCACGCAGACCCGGAGAAAGCCTGGAGAAGGACAACGCAGGACCCACAGCAGCGCTGACAGCGTTCGCAAGCGTGGCTTGCGGCTAGAGGACAGCAGGACGACACCGCCAGAACAAAAGAAGACAGGGTTAGCATGGCCAGAGGACAGCAGGAGCACTCCAGGAGGACAACTGGCGGACAAGAAGGGGATAACAGGAATAGAGGGGAGACTGTGGCCAGCTTCTTTTTCCTGTAAACTCCAAAAGGGACTTCTTGCAATCCAACCACCCGGAGGTCCCTCGCACCATACACGAGATCCCTGGCATCCCACCAAGCAGCCCCAGAACGGCAGCCCGTGGCAGGCACCACCCCGCAACACGCCCCGCCCGGCGGCTGTGAAAGAACCGCCAGCCCCCGCCTCAGGGCGGCCGGCGCCACAACGCCCGTTGGATCGGGAGGCCTCGCAACGAGGTCTTCGGCAGCGCTATATACGGCGGGACCGTGAGGGGTGAGGGGTGAAGGAAAATGTGAACCATCTGACGAAATCGGACGAACAGAATTCACATGGAAGTGGAATCGCCATGGACTCTGTCCTTGGATCAAGGAGTGTTTCACACTTCTGCGGAACGTGACAGGCGGAGTGTAGATCGGACACTGTCGGAACGTGACAGGAGGCCTCAAGATGGACTTCACGATGGTGAGAAGCCATGTTACAAGCAGGTTGAAAACCATGATGGTAGCAGTAGTAGGTCTTGGCCCATCGTCCAAACTTCAACAAATTGAAAAAATGAAAAGCTGGTGTACCTCCCAAACCTACTGGAAGCGTGTTTCCTCCCCACTCAACCACCATCCCGCGTTCGCTTCCGGCGGGTGGTGCCAATTTATGGGATCCAAAGGGACTCCGACTCGGAAGACCACGATTAAGGGACTCCGACGTCACGTCTTCGCGGCTCCGCCTGACCAGAGGATCGGGGAGTGCGGTCGAGCAGGTGGAAAACCTCTCGGGCAGGTCGGTGCTTCGAGGTGCTTCACGGGGTAGAGGCGGGAGGCCATCAAAACATCAGATACAGGGTGTTACAACTTGTGCCCCAAAATCACTCTGAATGCAGAGACACCTCACAACAATCAATGTGGTGGCATGATGTCTCAGCGGGGTTGCCGTGGTTTGCACGAGCGAGCTCTTGGCTCAAATCCGAAAGACTGTTGTGGGCCAAATCCCCGAAAGCACCCTGACACGCACCACGACATGTTGGACTACGCCAGGGTAGGTCCACATAAGCTAGGAATTGAAACCACATGACGGAGTACAGACGCCCCAAGTGGAGCTGGGAAGCCACATGAAGCCACACCGAAAAACCGTCCCTGCTTGAACCGCAGCCTGAGGGAAGATCCGAAGCTGCGATCTTCGAGGTCCTCCTCGCAGCTTGGAAGGATGGGCTTCCGGGCACTCCTGAAGCCGAGCGGCCGCTCGCGTGGGTCGCGGCCAGCCAGCGAGCGTGCGGGGTCTTTCGAAGTTCTCCGAACGGACCCTGCGGCGACCTCCGACTCACTTGAGAAGATTGAGACAAGACGTGCTTGGTTTTGGGGAGCCGGAATCACTTCGAATCACGGAAAGGGGAATGAGCATGCTGCAGCATGGCACAAAAAGGCTCGGAGCATCTTGTGGTGCCAAATCCAGAGGTGGCCATGGCAAACCCACCTCACATGGTTTAGGTATTCTAAGCTACCAGTCTAATACGGCAAATGGGCTTTGACCCACAGCCATGTGGGTTGTCTAATGACATCTAAAGTAGACTCTTGATGAATAATGCCCCCCGTTTGAATTGGAATCCTCTTCATATGGGAGGGGTCATTAATCAAGAGTCTACATCACCTTGTGGACAAGCAGTCTACCCATCTCTGTCAAGCTGGGGAGCCCGGACAGGCTCAACGACACCTGCAACGCCCGGACGGCCCGCGGTTCAGGTCAGACCGCGGACAGCATCTCTTCATGTTGTGGACGGACCACATGTTGGTCGGACGGAGGTCCAAGGAGGGTGCCGACTGTTGGACCCCGTCCGCGAACGTGAAGACCCGGTGAGTCGTTGGTGGAGGTTCCTGTAGTCACCTTCATGAGAAAAAGGCCAGGACCTCGTTGGTCGTAAGTCATCCTCGTTTGGAGAGAAGACAGCCGTAACTGTGAGACTTTCCTGGGCTGTCACTTGTTCATCTATGCAGTGGTGTTTCTTCAACAGCTCCCATATCAAACTGGGCAGCCTGACCTCAAGAGCTTCTCACACTTCTTTGGCTCCCAAAGAAACAGAAACTCGACCGGTTGCTTATTGATGTGCATGCAACTATTCCATAGATGCCTCTTTGATAAAGCCTGAAAAAGCGCTGGTGATGCATGTGATTGCACTGGCGTTGCACCCATCTCGCTCAAGGGCTGAATTGCCTTTCCAACGGAGAGAAACCTGTCTGTCTCCTGGTCAAACCTGGCCCGTATCCGCAAACCGAAACAATCCCAGGCAGGTTGTCTTCTTTGAAAAAACCTGTTTGCTGTGGTGCAAAAATGTTAAACGAAAGGCGATTCCACTTCTAAGGAACAGGTCTACCTGGTCTACCCACAAAGTTTATATAAATAGATGAGTTTCCTTTGGGAAATCAAGTAAACAAGTATGAACCATTATGAACTAATCATATCATTCATAAAGCAAGCGTGCAAACAACGAAATCGCCCCGCCCTCCCACCCTGCAGCTGAAGCTGGCCACCCGCACCTGTTGACTCGGGTGGCTTGAACTCGGCACTTTGGCTTGAAGCTGCTCCATCGTCGCCTACACGGGTTCAGAAGAGGAAGAGGAGAGGGTTTGTGTTTTTTTGTTTTTGTGGGTGGACCGCCTATTTTTGTTGGATGCTGTCCATGTGCCTTTTTCTTTTTAAGAAGGTTCTGGTCTTCCATATGGAAGAACTCGTGGTTCGTGACCAAGGGTATCGCTGCTTTTGACCGGCGAACTGATCTGCGAAACTGAGGTTTCGAGGAAGCAGAACCAAGATTTTGAGTCTATCTGAACCTCCAAGAGCTCAGTGGATGATGATGGTTAATAAAGGCCTTCTCTAAAATAGTGATAATTGTTGACCGACTGTTACAGGTAATCAGGTAATAGGACAGGCCCCACCAAGATCTATGTATCTTTGACACTCTTTTACCAACTAGTGGCATCCTCCAAAATATTGTCTCTTAACGTCTGGGCTGTTTCCCACAGTATCTTAGCTTTGACCGAGCAGGGGGCCCCTTCTTCAGTCAAAAGCAAAGTGCTATGGTCTTTGAGTTTTCTCGCTGTTCGTTCTTGTTTATATATACAAAAAAAAACAAACATAACCTCGGTCCATATGGAGAAGAAGGAGTTTGCAGATCATTTATCAGATCCCTGACCCTTCCACATCGTTTGACCCGTTTTCGTATCTGTCCACCTCATTGAGGGTCACCAAAATTACTAGACCTTGCCGCACGTGGAAACACGTGAAATGAATGAAAAAAAATAGGTTATTTCTAATGTCTAAGAGTCTATCCTCCGCTCCTTCACCGTTCCTTGCCAACACCCGTTCCACCGTTCCCGCCCGTTCCACCGCCGCCGCCTCGGTGGACTTCTCCAAATCGCCCACCGCCCGCAGCGCTTCCCGGAGTTGCTGAGTTGCCAACTGCACGGCCTCGCAGAGTCCATTTTTTCTCCTTGGGTCGTAAACAAAGAAATAGCGATGGCCTCCTAGCACTGGTCATGTAAACTTGTTTGATTGTTGTTCTTGGAGAAGAAAAGCCACCAGGAAGATGGTGGACAGAAGTGGCTTTGCTCAAACGAGAATGCTCCAGCAGCTTTAGTCAACCATCTGGTCAGACTCGGTCGATCAAAGGCTTCGGTGAAAACGTCGGCCTCCCGGAAGTCGCTCTCCTCGCAAAGGACCTGGTCGCAAAGCGACAAAATGAAAAGAGTGGCCTCCTGCCAGTGGCCTCCTGCCAGTGGATCTAGGGGATGAATCCAAAACTACCTGCTTTCAATTGCTTGGCTCTATATTGATACAATGTATAAACTCTGTGGCATGTCCCTCTATGTATTTCACCCTCGGCAAGCCAGGGTTGCCTTAACTTTGGAACACTTTGAGAATGTCTCGTCCTCTGCGCAACCTTCTTCAACAAACGCATCAGCTGCCCCAAGCAGCTGCTCCGCTTGCTCCGCTTGCTCGGCCCCGCCGCGGCCTTCGCTTCCTTCAAGGTCACCGGCAAGGACCGGCGCAACTCCGACGGCTCGGGGAGCTCAGGGAGCTCCAGCCTGATTTGCACGGCATGGGTGGCTCCAGTTGAGATGGCCTCTGGTTTTTGTGGGAAAGTCTGGAATTCCTAACTCGGGAAAGTGAAATGTGCAAGCATCAACTCAAATCGCTATGGAAATCCATAGGGTAATGGAACTCATCAGCCCAATGTCTCACCTCTGTGCCGATCGAAGCGGTGGGGAGAACCTTTTTGTCCATTATTGGTATTTAGCAGAGCAGCCATTGGGCATTCCAGGTATCAAAAGAGCAGGTGAATAGTGAACAGTGCAGCAGCCATGGGATGTGTTGTGAAAGAAACCAATGGCAGGCATCATCGTCATCTCATTGTGCGAACGTGATTGAAAAGTTCCCCACATGGATAATGTCACCATACCGAATCCGCCGACCCCACACCGTGGGGTGAGGCGTGACTGTCGATGTTAGCCTTAGCCTTAAGCCTTAGCCTCAGCCTTAGCCTTAGACCTTAGACCTAGTCCTTAGCCTTAGACCTAGACCTAGACCTTACCTCCCCTACCCCTCCGGACCCCTTGCTGCAGTGACGAAATCCGGTTGAATTTCTCCGGGAAAGCAACCTGGATTGTCCAAGAATCTGCCATCCCAATTGATTTACATCTTGGGGCACCCTCTCGACCCGCGCGGGAAAATAAGCACGGTCCAAAATGGTCCTGGGCTCGAATCCCGGGCTGGTCGCGGCATGGTCCCGGCCAATGCCCTTGCTTTTTCGTAGATTTTGTCACGTTTTCTGTTGGTTTATGAGATTTTCAAAGGCTTTTCTGGCATTTTCCTAGGAGTGCTCTAGGCTTTGTCTTTTTGGGTGCCTGCTTTGGTGGTGCTGGGTTGGGTCTAAATTGGTAAACCTGGGAGGTACCCAAAAAGTCGACTTTTTGGGTACCTGCTTTGGTGGTGAAGGGTTGGGTCTAAATTCTTGGGCAATGATCGGGGTTCATGCAAGAGCTGACGTCCGATGGTAAATCTGGGAGGTACCCAAAAAGTCGACTTTTTGGGTACCTGCTTTGGTGGTGCTGGGTTGGGTCTGCACTCTTAAGGCTAAGGCTAAGGCTTAAGGCTAAGGCTAACATAGAGCAAGGCTAGCGCTAAGGTTCTATCCCTTGGGGGTCGGCGGCTGCAGGCGGTAGCCTGGTAAATACATCATACATCTTTAAGGGTTTGAACTGGCACTTTACCTACGTCACTGTATTTGGAAACCACTGCAAGCAACCACAGTCAGAACAAAAACAAAATCATACATTTGGAGTCTGCCATTCTCTGGGTCCCTACCTCCTTTCCAATATCTCCTTTGGCTCACTGGTCTCGATGGTCACGGCTGTATGCCTTGGACGAGTCTCCGTCGGGTGCGTCAACACGAAGCATAACATGCCTGCAGTTCCCCCCATCCAATCTGGCTCCATTCCAACCTGACAACAGCTCTGGGTTTGGGGTTTTGAACCTCCACGGTCCGCAAAAGCAGGCAGTTTTAACGAAGACACATGTGGATTTGGGAGGATGTATCACGATTGGAGATACACGTCACTGGTTGCAACAGCCTGGATACACCAGGAATGACTGTCCATCCTTCAGGCTCGCAGGGTCCTACCTTTGAATTCGTTTTCGTCCAAATGGGCGTAAAGATCATAAAGAGAAAGAATGAAAGTGAAAAGTTTCACGATGGGAAGAAGGTACCGCAGGTTAATTTGCCAAAGAAACCGGTTCATATCTACTGCCAAGGCAAATAAAAATCTAATTAACTAGAATACAATAAGGAAATCATCCTGTCCAGATCCTGCCCAGGCCCTTGCCTTCGGGTTTTTCAAGGTATCCAAGCTACACAACCGACTACAACCAAATGCTTAGACCATCATTGGAAACATAACGGTGTCTGGGCAACTGCGAAGGGTCGGATCAAAATCCGGAACTCGGTTCCATGTAGGATCTATGGATCTTCTCAAATTTGCTGTGGGTGAAAGCTGCGATAAATGAACTAACTTGCAACGACCAAAACACTAGAGTAGAGGTTGGCGGGACACCGAAAATGGTGTTCCCTCATGCCAACAAACAAACCCAGGGCAGCATCCAGTTCTCTGCATGCCGGGGTGCTGCAACACCTCTTGAACCTCTGCTGAGAGCTTTTCCTTCGACGTCACATCGGTGTCTGCAAAAAGTGCCATGACCACGCAGTGACCCAAAAGAAAAACAATTAATTCGCATCTGAATTCTTTTTGGGGTTGCAGTTGGTCAATCTGGAAAAGACCTGGATTTTTTCGGGCATCTGCACTGCTCATTGGCCCCCCCTCAGTTGAAAGAATATGAAATGAAACAACAAAACCGAAAAGGTAGGGCACCCGTTGTTCTAGAAGAGAAGTAGCTCGTTTTCAATTCTGCACGACGTCACCGCCAGACCAACGTCACCGCCCAAGGCTGACGGATGTGTCAATCAAAAGGCAAACGGATGATTGTTCTCCCAAGAGTGACTCCGTGAGTTCTGAAGCCTAGAGAAAATGCCTCGTAAACAGCGACCCCCTAGCTATCGACCTTGGTGAAGACTCCAAAAAAAGGGCCGAAAGGGAGGTGTAGTAGGTCCAACGTAGGACATGAGTACCACCACATGAGTACCGAGCCAGAAGACCTCGCCAGAAGACCGCGTACACTCCCCCAGAGGTCCAAGTCTCCATGCGAGTTGACAGCTCCACAAAAACGCCTTCCACAGCGTTGGCCAGTTCTTGTTGCTGATGGACACAACGAATCATGTTGTACCTGCTTCCCAAAGTGCCACACTCGCTGAAGTGAAAGCGCTATCACTGCAACATGTTATATAAAAGTTCTTTGGGTGCTAGGCTGAAGTCATCTGCTAAGATCCTCTTGAATGCGTTTGGAGGTTCTTAGTTTCGACACCGTGGTGAAGAATCCACGTTCATTGCTGCATCTCAGTTGCAAAGTTGTCTCACGTGTGATGCCCATGTGCCAAACCCAAAAAGATCGTGGGGAACAGATTATATAACAGACTCCCGGCGTCTTCTGGCCATCTCTCGTGAGCACAGAAGGCTGTGGTGTAACCAATTTGCAAACCCACATCGAAGCCTGCAACAGCTGTACCAAATGTTTGACGTCTCTGCACCCTGCCACTTGAACCATATAACTTACATAAGCTCTCTTTATTCATCCTAGCACTGTGTTGCAGTTGCTTGTGGACCCAGGTCATGCATATCATACCACACGGGCTTTCTCTAGTAAAATCATCGAATATCATAGAACCCTGTTTCAGTCCCGATGCAAGTGACAAAGCAAAACTGCCTAACTACATGGTAAAACTTTACCTCTATGGCAACAGACTTGTTGCAAAACTACTCGACCCCATCCACACCGGTCTTCACCTACAACACCCTGACCCACAACATCCCCCGTCAACCACAGTGGTTCCCTACTTACCCATCATGGACAGAAACATGGCCATCACTTGAGACATCATGGACAGAAACATGGCCATCACTTGAGACTCCCCTCACTCCCAACCCCAAAGCATCTCTCGCCAAAATCTCTCGCGCTGATTCGGCTCACTTGATGAATCTGGGCGCGGTCTTGCTATCATGGACCCAACGGCTTAAGGGTTTGATAAACTCATGGGACTCTATTGATCCACTACCATCAACATCGATCATCTGGAAGAGCTCGCGCAAGTCACCTGCCAGACGAGCTGTGCAATGCAGCCAAAGGCTAAGCATTCCCTAATTAACGCGGCTTTGCAACCCAACTGCAGGTAGCAACTCAATTGACTGCGATTCTTCAAACATTCCAGTTCCAGCTGCGTGTTCCTAAAGTTTCCAAACCGAGTCCCAAATCTGGGAGGAGCTGGCGAGCAGGAGCTGGGGAGCAAAAGCAGGAGCAGGAAGTAGGTTCCAAGAGGCATGACATGTTCCTTTTGGAGTCCACCAAAACCGTTGTTCAAGAACCAATGGCACCACACCCCAAAGAATTGGAATCTTTGGTCCATGAAACCCCTTATGTGATAGCCTGACCCCCCCCGTGACTTTATAGAGGATATGTCCACGTGGATGGGAGAAAAAAGAAAGAACACACGAAGTAGTTCGAACTCATTCCGCCAAAAAAAATGTACCCGGCGGCGCCTTCGTCGATGTCCATCACCCGCAGCCGGCTTTGGAACTCGGGGTTCTTCCGAGCTCCTGCTCAGAGGAGTGGACGCAAGCGTCTGAACAAGAGAAGGATCGCCAGGATGAAGAGGTGTGTTCATCCGGGAATGCATTCTATTCACCAAGAGTCTGTTTGGCTTTGGTCACTGAGCGAGAGGTGTTTGTTTGTTGGGGACCTGTGGGGATTGGATTGTCTTGGATCTTCCTGGACCATAGGTTCCATTTCTTTACTGTCACTGTACAAAGGGATACATTCGGTGATGATCCGCTGATGTGTTACATTTAGACTCTCCAACATGGATGCCCTAGGCAACAAATGCATGACGTACGCAACAAATGTTTTGCAGAGAGAAAGGAAAAGGACCAAAACCTGCAAATAAGATCAAATAAGCAGTCACAAGGTCCTCGCCACAAAAAAAATAGATTCTAAAACGCAAGCCCAATGGATTCTATATTGATGGTGTGGTAGCATAACAGCACTGAGGGATGATCATAGCAATTGATCGACTTTGACCAGAGGCACGCAGCACGCACAAAAGGTGGCTTTAAAAATTCCATTCTCGACAGTATGACTGACCCATCCCAACGCAGAAACTGCCTCCCTCTGCAAAGTCACTGCTTGGGCAATGGCCCCAATTCATTGTTCCCCACCATGAAGCAATCATACAAGGGTGAGTGATTCCATGCTTTTCTCCAAATAGATTTGTCCTAGAAAGCTTTGGTTTAGCTGTAGTTTGCCAACCATGGGTTCTGATATATGTTGAAAGGAATCGACCAGTGTCCGTTAGTTTTTTGTTTCATCTTTTTTTCCCATGTGACAAGTCCAGGTCGGATGCTTCACATCGCCGAC